CTCTCTCTCTCTCTCTCTCTCTCTCTTTCTCTCTCTCTCTCTCTCTCTCTCTCTCTCTCTCTCTCTCTCTCTCTCTCTCTCTTTCTCTTTCTTTCTTTCTCTCTCTCTCTCTCTCTCTCTCTCTCTCTCTCTCTCTCTCTCTCTCTCTCTCTCTCTCTCTCTCTCTCTCTCCTCCTCCTTCTCTCCCTTCTCTTCCTTTTTACTGCTGCTTCCCACATTTCAAGTCGCTAACAAAGCCGTGTTGACAATTCAACGTTATTAGCTTCTGGGTTTTTTCTCCCAATACTTGGCCAACACTTCCTTTTGTTCGCTTTCTAAACTTTCCAGACTTTCCAAGCCAGCAAAGAGCCTTTTCAAGCGAACAAACAGACTTTCCGAGTAAACAAACAGACTTTTTAGGCAAGCAAACAGACTTTCCAAGCAAGCAAACAGACTTTCCAAGCAAGCAAATAGACTTTTCAAGCAAACAAATAGACTTTTCAAGCAAGCAAACAGACTTTCCAAGCAAACAGACTTTCCAAGCAAACAGACTTTCCAAGCAAACAAACAGACCTTCCACGCAAAAACACAAGACATTCCAAGCAAAAAATCAGAATTTACACGCAGGTAAACAGGCCTTCCAAAGAAACGAACCCAGATTAACGAGGGGAAGCTATCTTTCCTATCAGCAAATGCTCTGTAAATGGCTGTTAATGTTTCCAAGTGTTGTGCAGTTATCTGTCGCTGGTGTTTTGGAGAAGGAGGGACCAGTGAGGGAGGGGAAATAAGCCTTATCTCAGTAGGGAAAGGGGGAGGAAAGTGGGGAAGAGGGGGGGGGGGGAAGGCACAGTGTGGTAGTGGTGGAGGGGGGGGGGGGGATAATAATCATGCCAGTATTGGAGACGAAACACATACATCTCCACCACACGCACACACACACACACACACACACACACACACACACACACACACACACACACACACACACACACACACACACGACTTAAAGCTGTAAGGAGATGTGGGTCGAAGATACTGTATATCCAACCTATTGCTCATGATCTGCCACAACGTACGGAATATAACGTCCTAACCAAAACCAAAACAAACTGCACGAATCCAAGCCACCCACCTAATCCAACCAACTGATGCACACACACGACGCGGGATTTCTTTGCGAACCGCTACGTTGCATAGCACGACGCATTTCGTACGTTGGTTACCATATTGTACCGTAACTTTCCTTTACTTGAGAGAACGGTTGGGCACACATGAGCCCCACACCGCCGTGCTGAGTACCACACGAAGGGCTCAAACGCACATAGAGAGAGAGAGAGAGAGAGAGAGAGAGAGAGAGAGAGAGAGAGAGAGAGAGAGAGAGAGAGAGAGAGAGAGAGAGAGAGACAGACAGACAGACAGACAGACAGACAGACAGACAGACAGAAAGCACTATAGCACTTGGAAGGGGTGTCAAGACAAGCAGGGGAAGGAACAGTAACCCAGACACCTGAACCATTGGGGGATCGAACGCCGACCTGCAAAAAAAGCGAGGAACACCGCTGTACCGACCAGACCAATTTACAAAATAGCAAGTTGGTATTTACGAGCCACTTGACATAGCGTTGAATATATGCTAAGCTCAGATTTTGTGGGGTGCTGCGCCGGTGTGAATAGCATTTTCTTCCCCCTTCCTTCATCCTTCTTTTCAGCCTCCTCCTTTTCATATTCCCTCCTTCTCCTCCATCTTCTCGCATCCGAACAGCATCCTTAACACAAAATATTTTATTCGGGAAATAAGAGCTGTCTTCCATGTCGCAAATATATATAACAGAGGTACATCTCCCGTGGGAGTCTCGCCTGCTGGGTTCACCGTCCTGTCCACCGTACCAGCTCACAGTACCAGCTCACAGTACCAGCTCACAGTACCAGCTCACAGTACCAGCTCACAGTACCAGCTCACAGTACCAGCTCACAGTACAAGCTCACAGTACCAGCTCACAGTACCAGCTCACAGTACCAGCTCACAGTACCAGCTCACAGTACCAGCTCACAGTACCAGCTCACAGTACCAGCTCACAGTACCAGCTCACAGTACCAGTTCACAGTCAGAGGACACAGTCCCTGCTCATATTCCCAGCTTAGAATCCCGACAGTTCGGAGTCAGTTCTAACTCTCAACAATAGTTTAAAAAACTATTAAAAATAAACCACAGCCCAGAGCCACAACGGCTCACAGCTGAGTCAAAAGTACTTGGTGCCAGTTCCAGTTCACAGTCTCTGGCCCCAGTCTAAGGCCACACATGTACTGGTAACACCCTGATCAATCAGCCCATTGTTGTTCGCAGGACTCACCATGATTTGGGCGAGATTAATTTATTGATAAATAATTGTTCGTAATAAAAAAAAAAAACTCATTCCCTGAAGCTGTTCGGAACACTCTCCCAACACTCGCGACACAGTATAGATGAGTACACATGTGTTGGATATCAAAGTTGCAGCGGTGTTAGATATCATATTTGTAACGGGGGTTGGATATCATAGTTGTAGTGGTGCCCCCAGGAAGGATAGGGAAGAAAGGTGGGCTCAGTAGTGATGCCAGTATGTACAGGGCGAATGAGTTCAGGTTCCAATACCCTGTGTTTCTTTTCCTCTCCTCCGCTCACCTCCAAGAAAATACTGGGACTTCGCCCCAGCAAACACACACACACACAATCCAAACGTCGTAGCGACGTTGCAAAGACGTAACCCTACACCGTGAAGGTTACGTTGAACGTCTGCTCGGAACTCGCACAATGTCGTAATCCGGTGTTGCACTCAATTCTGTGGCGCCTCCGGACCTTTCACGGGGGAATATCTGGCCATCTTTGGTCGTAATATTTTCTTTCATTTAGTGCATGGGGGTCCGGCTCATTTCAGGATGGAAAATACCAGTAATTTATTCGAGTACGGTGGAAAATACGAGCAATTTATTAGAATACAGTGGAAAATACGAGAAATTTATTGAATACGGTACAAAATACCAGCATCTTACTGGAATTATTCTCTCGTAGATGTATGACGTTCTTGTGGCTCCATAGTTCTTTGCGCCTCTGTTTTGCTTGATACCTGCTTGATGGGGTTCTGGGAGTTCTTCTACATCCCAAGCCCGGTCCGAGGACAGGCTTGACTTGTAAGAGCTTGGTCCAACAGGCTGTTGCTTGGAGCGGCCCGCAGGCCCACATATCCACCACAGCCACCTGGTTGTGTTGCTTCAGTGGTTCTCTGTCTTGGCCTTACATTTCAACTTTGTTAAAATTAACACATCTACAATATGGGATGTGCTTTGTTTCAGTCCTAGGAACTCCTAACTAGACTGTTTTCTGCCGTTGGGGTTGTATGACGGAGAGGAATAGGAAGACCAGGGAACCTGTGGGTGAGGTAGGAGGCAGGAAGGGTAACAAGGATGGGAGGGGTGGGATGGGTAGCATGGAAGGGGGGAGGGGAGGATAGGATAGGTTAGCAGCCAGACTCGCAGCCTACACCATTAATATAATTCCCAGACGATGATCCTCGCTCCATTGCTGGCTCCCAGTCCTCTAAAATTGGCCTCCGCTTCTATCTGTCACTGTCGGTCTCAAACTCTATTAATTCTGCTAGTTGAAGTAGGTGGGGAGTGGGTGGGGGGACTACGTGGGGAAGTGGGCAGGGAAGTATAGGGGAAGTGGGTTGGGGGAGTGGGTAGGGGAAGTGGGTAAGGGAAGTGGGTAGTTTAGTAGGCTGGGGGAGTGGGTTCACCCACTTTCTATACCCTCAACCGTCCTTTAAATTAACAAATCACAGTTAACTCCACTAATCTTGTCTCTTCATAAAAAAAAACTATCACTTCCTTCAGCCGAAGCTCAATTAACCGGAATATAACGATTCATTTAGCCGTAAACATGTGCACTATTCATTACTTTAAGCGGATATCAAGTAATTTAAATTACTTCCATGCTTATTGCAACATGGTCAATCACTCAGAGTGATTGTAATTACTTGGGCATTAACTGTTGATATAACTTTAAATAGTACACACTTTATATATATATATATATATATATATATATATATATATATATATATATATATATATATGTGTGTGTGTGTGTGTGTGTGTGTGTGTGTGTGTGTGTGTGTGTGTGTGTGTGTGTGTGTGTGTGAGTGTGTGTGTGTGCGTGTGTGTGTGATCTGACCCCACATGACCTGAACTGACCCTTACCAGGAGAGTGACCTCAGTAACCAAGGTTCCATTAAACCGAGTAGCCATTCAGTTTACCATTATCGGAGTCCTCTAGTAGTCACATCTCCATTGATTTAGTGGATTACAGGTCCATTCCCCCTATCCAGAGTGGATTACACATTCATTCCCACGACCCAAAGTGGATTACAGGACCATTCATTCAACAATAAAAATATTACACATAACTCCATTAGCCAGGAATCCATTATTTGTAATGGCATTAGCAATAATGCTATTAAAATGCTGTTCACTTCACAAGTCAATAAAACTCACGTCCTATTGAACACAGACATAACAGGTTGAAAACAAAAAAGACATGTTTTAAAAATTAGGATTAAAAAAACAGAGATGGGAAAGAAATGTTGGAATTAAAGAATAAAGATAATAAGGTGAAAAACGACAGTAAAGACACAGAATAGGAATAAGAAGAGAGTCAGTGAAAGGGCAAGAGGCTAAGGAGGCTTCTAGGCTCTTTATCTTTTATCAGAAACGGTGATAACTAGTAAACAATAATGATTAATTAATAATAATAAAATCTAATTAGTGGTATTGCCACAATAACAAGGATAAACAAAACCTTAACACATATACAAAAATATTGCACTACTGTATATCCAAAAATCCACATATATCAAAATATATATTATCGATTCACCTGGAGTATATACCTAGAGAGAGAGTTTCAAGACTTGTTCTACTCCCCAAGGCCAGGCCAAAATCTGACATGTATCAACAAACTTTTAGAGAATCAGACGGGTACTTACAGAGTACAGTGAGATGCCCAGTGCCCCTAATGGCCGGATGGCCGTCAGCAGGTCCAACTTGGCACTGATAGTCAGCATCGTCAGCCAAGGAGGTGTTGTGGATTCTTAAGTGATGTTCACCACCAATGCCATCTCCAACCATCTCGTATCGAGGGTAACCGGGTATTGTGCGGTTGAAACCTGGTGGGGTGAAGAGGGATTGGGTGGGTTAGCTTGAGTTGTTTGAGGTGGTGGGTTGTGGTGGTGGATGGTGATGGTGGTGGGTTGGGATTGATGGTGGTGGTGGGGGGTTTGTGGTCAATGATGGTGGTGGTGGGCTGTGGTTGATGGTGGTGGTGGGGGGTTTGTGGTTAATGATGGTGGTGGTGGGTTGTGGTTAATGGTGGCGGTAAGGGATTGTGGTAGATGGTGGTGGTGGTGAATGTTAATGTTCGTGATGAGGTTATGGTGTTAGTGAGAGTGGACTTGTTAATTGTAGTGTTAATTGTGTTGAGGCAAAGGTGGCTATCTGGAAATTATAGTGGTCATAATTGTGTAATTGTGGTAGTGGCTGTAATGAAAATAACTGATGCTAATGATTGTGGCGGAAATAATGGTGGTAGTTGTAATAGTACTTGCAACAGTAGAGTAAAATAATTAATTTTATTCTGATTACAGGTTCAAAAAATAAAAGCTCCTTAAAAACACATGGGTCACTCAAATACTTTTTGTTTAAGGTTTAAAACATCTTTACATAACCTACATTCTCTCTAGTGACGTGAATTTGATAGAACATTTAACTAAACAACTTAGCACGTGAAAGCATTACGAGAAGTACTATTATACAACACAAGATCTGGTCGACTAGGCATTATATAGCTCCCAGATGAAATAGAAATACTGCGCTTGCTTGCTTAATTCCTTGCTCGATGACCAATTTTGCTTTCTGGGCTCCTTGCGCGCATGCTTGGCTTAACTGATCGATTGATCGCTTGCTTGCTACTTTTGAGTCATGTACTCGCTTCCTTCCTTCCGTGCTTCCTTCACAGCACGCCAGTCCATCTCTCAGCATGTCTGGTAAAAGCAAAGGGACTGTTCGGCCTACAGCTGCCATGTATCATCAGCCTTCAGGACCCAATATTCTCACTAGGACGCGATTTCTAGCATGAAGATTATCGACAATAACAGGACAGGCCGCAGGACACAGGAGGTCTAAGCATGTCAAGACAGAAATAACGACGATAGACATGAAATGAAAAAGATTTAGGGAAACGTCTCGTGAGCATCAATAGACAGCAACTTAAGCTCATTCAGGAAGTTTTAATAAACATCACTTCACATTCAAGTGGATTAAATCATGAGGCTCTTGACTTTTACAGTAATTATGAAAACAAATATTAATCTATCTGTCATCTACCTATCTACCGGGAATCAATGTCCCAGGAGCACGATCTCTGACCAGACCTCCTGATTGATTGTCTGGTCAAGCAGACTGTTAGATGGTAACCTGTTCTTCCCACAACAGCAGCAAAAGCTGCAAAAGCATATATGCTGAAAGAGCGTCCGTAGCAGCAGAGCGGTCGCAATAGAATATGCAACAATAGGTGTAGCATTAACAGTAGCAGCAACATTTAACGTAGCAGGAGCAATCACAGCTGCAGTAGCAGTAACAGCAACAGAAACACACGAAGAGGAGCAGCTGCAGTAGCATCTGCAAGCAGGCAACTGTAGCAGCAAAAAGGTAAAAGCAGCAGGAGCAATAGCAGTAGCAGCAGCAGCAGCTGCAGCAGCAGTAGCAGCAACAGCAGCAGCAGTAGCAGCAGGAGGAGCAGTAGCAGCAACAGTAGCAGCAGCAGGAGCAGTAGTAGCAGCAGCAGCAAGAGAAGCAGTAGCAGCAGCAGGAGCAGTAGCAGCAGCAGCAGTAGCAGCAGCAACTGCAGCAGTAACAGTAGCAGCAGCAGCAGGAGCAGCAGTAGCAGCAGCAGTAAGAGAAGCAGTAGCAGTAGCAACAACAGTAGTAGCAGCAGTAGCAGCAGTAAGAGAAGCAGTAGCAGGAGCAGCAACAGTAGTAGTAGTAGCAGCAGCGGAGGGAGCCATGTCCACTACAACACACCACCCTGGAACATATAAGCTGACAGAGCCATCTGGCGCCCGTCTCTAACACTCCTCCCTCTGACCATCACTATAAACCTTGCCCCTGATGCAGTGTTCAACATATTACGCCCAAGCGACACAAGGGGTCACGGCAGGAACCACGCAACACATAATGAAACACAAGCTACGTTCCGTTGCAGAAAACTGGATATACAACGGAAGCCGGAACAGAAAAAAAGCAACAGTTACACAATAGATTGCAAAAAGAACCCCCCTAGAGAGCTTGCAAGAAATATTGGAAAGCCTAATGACTGGGCGGCATAGCACGAACTGAAGCTCAACCAGCTTGAGCAATTGCAAGAACTTCAACTTAAGCAATTGCAAGACCTTCAGCTTGAGCAACAGTCCAAGCTGAATATCCCGTCAATATTGATCCATGATGAATGTTGATCACCAGGGATCGAGAGCTTATATAATTAGGTCATTCTCCCTATCACTCCATAGTCCTCCCCACACATCTCTCCTGCCCACAATTTACCCATTTTTACCCCAACATGCCACCCCCCACCCCTGCACCTCTTCTACCCACTAATTACCCATTCGTCTCCCCCGTACCACCTCCCCTACCCATTAATTATCCATTCTTGAATTCCTCCTGTGATTAATTCTTCCTTAATTATCCCCATATAATAACAAATATATATTTGGTGTTTTATTTCACAGAGAGATAATACGTAGTTTATTTTATTGGTAAGTTAATCGTGAAATTATTCAATAAGGTTTCAATAATTGTGTACTCAGCAGCTTACACACACACACACACACACACACACACACACACACACTCACACACACACACACACACACACACACACACTCACACACACACACACACACACACACACACACACACACACACACACACACACACACACTGAGTGCATGATAAAACACTTTGAACAACATAACATAATGTTTCATTTGACTTGCAAAGCTGGACAACATAATGACGACTTAAAATCCAGATGGATTTGGTGACAATTATGTATTCATATGTAATTACTGTGGTAATGTTTTTGGAAAACAAATATTATATATATTTACATATATAATGATATATATAATAATGTATATGCATGTAAAATATATATTAAATATTAAGTGTAAATATATTTATATTGCACATTGTATGCATTTTTCTGCGGTGTTTGCTGAAATTAATAAAAACAAATTAGAAAGTTTAGTTTTAATTAATACAAATAGATTTATGCAAATTATGAAATTCAAAAATGTGTGATTCCACTTATATTTTGAAATACATGAAACGGACGCTCAATTGAGAGGTTCAATCCTGCAAGTTTTAGTGTAAAATTTGGTCCCTTTCACCGTAACCTGCAGGGTTCTGCATAGAGATAACCCCCAAACGTTACCAAAACGTTTTATTTACTATTTTTGCAACGTTGACAAAAAATAATAATAAAAGCTGTTAAATAAAAACTGTCGTTACGATGTAACACAAGTGAATGTTTTCTCTAACACGTGAGTGAATGTTTTCTTTAACACGTGAGTGAATGTTTTCTCTAACAAGTGAGTGAATATTTTATCTAACACATGAGTGAATGTTTTATCTAACTCATAAGTTAATACTAATTTAGTGTTTCATCATCATCATATACGAACCACCGGGTATTATCGATAATATACTCGAGTCATGTATATATATACAAATATATATTTGTGATATACATTTGGGTATATATGTATTTGTATACTTGGGCAGCAGGCGTTCCTTCAAGCATATTTGCTCAAATATGGCCCATAACTTTCACAAGTCAAGCCTGGCTTCGGGCCGAGCTTGGGGGAGTAGAAGAACTTCCAGAACCCCATCAAGCAAGTATCAAGCAAGCAGGTATGACCGCATTGCTGGCGAGTAAGCTCATATAGTATAAGAGTCTTATAAGTCTTATAAGTGTAAGATCTTATAACATAAGCTTTCTATGCTTACAGCAATGCCTGCTGCCTAAGTTTAAAAATATTAACCAACACGATCCGGCAGTAAGCAATGAAGTTATAACCTATAAGTATTGGTTTGATCTACTAAGGAGACAACTCGAGTTAAAAAATAAAAGGAAGAACTTAGCCATCTTCACCAGCAACTTGAAGGAGCCACCAGCCGATAGAGGAATTGTGACGTCCCCAACAGCATTAGACAAGAACATAGAGACATATCTTTCTCCTCGACAGAGAAGTCTCTTAACCTTAAAACCAGGCACCACAAGGAAACAGGAATGAAAACTATGAGAAAGTTAATACCATTCAATGGAGGTACTCTTCAGCTCTCACAGTCAGTCAATGGTTTTATCAACATCACTAGATATGAACTCAGTATGCAGTTAGACATATTTAATTAAATCGAAATAAAAAAAAACAGAAAAATAGCTTGAAGATAGAAAACTTAGTTTTTTTCAATAACATCAATCATCTAAACTCTACGGGAATGAGTCGCCACATTTCAGTAACTACCTCAGTTCAAGTCAACCACCTAAGCCGATCTGATCTTAGCCCTCAAATTACGGCCTCTCTGCCAGGAATCTTTCAATGAATTCCTCAGATTCTTATTTACTCAGTAACATTTGATTACCTTATTTAAGCCCACGGGAGAAATAGAAAATTGAAATATGTTAATATCTGATATTCCTAAATATTTTAAACAAAATATTTTTTATTATTATTATAACAATATTAAACACATATTTCACATATAATCACATATAACGTTAAACAAAATAGGAAACTTTATACAAAAATTAATTAAAAAAGATCTTCCACAGGACGCAACCCACAACAACTCCTTATCTCCTGGACACCATTTTACTGCTACCACAGGGGAGATCCACCCCTTCTCTGCCCTACGGCAAGAATCGAACCAGACACCCCTTCGTTGTCATTAGAGGAGGAAGACCACTGCCCTTCAGAACAACCAATCTACGTACTGGAGTAAACGATATGGAAGAAAATGTAGAATAGAACCAGTGAAGAGCAGAGGTGCCATAGGCACAATCAGAGAACACTGTATAAACATCAGAGGTCCGCGGTTGTTCA